TGGTATATGCAAAGGCAAATATCATGGGGAAAATTGTTTACTAGCTTGACATAGAGTGGATGCAGATCATAAAACTTAATATGCTTACTTTTAAAAAGTGAATATGCTTCTCCTATGGTCATCAGCATGTGACAAATTTGTTTCTAAAAGAAAACAAAAATTGTTTACAAAAACTGAAAACTTTATTAAATAAAATGCGATTCCTACATATAAACAATGTGTCATACCTTCTCTTTTATTTTCTTATTAATAGCAACATCTTTGCGTCCTGGAGTCATTCTACTAATATCTTCTTGCAAATAAAAATCAAGAACTTTACAATTAACATTGTCCAAACCGGCATAGTCACTACCTGATTCTCAAAAATCAGAAAGTAGTATGTTTTCACGTTTACAAACTTCTTTTGAAACGTGTTTTCTTTTGTTTGAATTGGCAGTTAATGCCAAATTAATTTTTTAAAATGCATTTCCGAAACTTTGCGGAGATAAAAAGGATTGTTCAATATCAGGTGTAGATTGGTTCACCTCTCGCTTTCGCTTCTTTTTTTGCGATCTATTTTATGTACTTCTTCCTTTTCCTTTTTGCTCATGGTAGCTCTTTTATTTTTTATTCAATTAGTTTCAGCAATCCGATGTTCTGGATGTTTCTTTCTAAATTTTTTCTGAACTATTGAATGTTTAACTTTTAATTCTAAATTTTAGTTAAAAATTTTAATTCTAAATTCTTTTAAGCAACTGTTTTCAATCCAACTAAATTATTCTCAAACTAAATAATTAACAAGTATGTGATTCAAACGCTATAAAGCTAAAAAAAAAAATTATCATGCACAGAATATTTTTCCATGCATGATATGCCCGTGCGTGATGCAAAAAAATGTTAAAATGTTGTAGAAGAAAAAAAATATTTTAGCCATTTAATTCAGTAACCTAAAAATACGCAAAGTAAAAAAAATCACTTTCATTGAAACTTTTTAACACTTTTTTTTCTAAATAATTAAATCTTTTAATCTCGCATGGAAAATTTCACCATCCACTTTTCGTAGACCTGAGAGATGTGGTAATAAAAATAGTTAGAAGATGGTGTCATTGAATAAAAAATAAAAATCATAAGAAAATATAAAATGAGTATTAAGACTTTCGTGAAGGTAAATAACAAAGTTAAATGCTCGGGGGGCAGGGAGAGAACCAACTAACACTCTAATCACTCTGTATGTAGATCATATGTAACAAAAAACAAATATTTGATATACTGATTTAAAGATTGTTGATGTCTACAGGTGTAATGGTGTAGTGCATTAGTACGTACCGTTTGTCGTCTAGTATAGTCTTGTTTTGTTTGCGTTCACTTTCAAATCAGGTGAATAGAAAGCTAAACACACTCACTTCTTGCCCTTATGAGCTAGCACATCAGAGCCAGACGTAAGACCTACAGAATGGATTTCAATTGATCAAATTTTGTCGTTGTGGTGTACATTAGAAAAAGTTGGGGCTCACCAGCCACAAAGAATAAATTTTTTTGCATATGCGACACAATGATCGCAAAAAGTGACCAACGGAGCCGTCCAGTTACGTAGACCTGGGAGATGTGAAAATAAAAACAGATTGAAGATGATGTCATTTAGGTAAAAAAATATAAATTAATGTAAAGATTATTCAGTAGGAGGAGTAAAAGTTAGCAACTCAGGAAAAGAGGAATAAAAACTCACACTCTAGTAATCTTTTAGCAAATGATGAAACAATGATCTATAAGTAAACAAGTCATCAAAAATCTAGTGATTTATAATGGTGTTCATAACTAAAATAATCGCACCATACAAATGTCTAATAAATGTGGTACTATATATGTTCTAAACTCTAGATAAAAAATTGGAACTGATAATCACCTGTGTAACATAAAAATATATAAATGTCGTTAATGTAACAAATTCATAATAAAAAGCTCACAAAGCGCAAAAATACATGGGTTTAAGAGGTAAAAAAATGTTGGTGCCATAATAACCAATTAGAATTAAGTAGTGGATAAATGGTGATCCCCCTCCTCAGGAATGCACTGCGATCACCAATGACGTTTCGGAGAGTCCGAGACCTGCTCTAACGCCACTTGTCAGGGGCGTGTCCTTGCAACAGATCTCATCGCCTGCACTCTACGTCATGCTAGTCAATATTGCAATATAATAGGACTACACTACAAAAGCCAAAAAACCCAATCCCTACCCCAGTTTTTGAAAACAGCTCCAACATTCTTAGAGATCTCGTGAGGGTGGTGAGGAATGCACGTGGTATAGCTGTATATATGTGTGTAAATACACGCACTCACAATATGAAAAAAAATAAACACATATCCCTTATATATACATACACATGAACATATCTATACAAAATAGTGACAATAGAGCATATAGAATAGTGACAATGACAGCAAAATAAATAATAAGCAGCAGATAGCACATAATACTTAAAAGTGACTTACCATTTTTTAATAAAGTAATGCCTAATATATATCTGTTTATATATACATATATAAACAGATATATATAGAAAGATAGAACAATTTTAAAATATTATTTCAAAATAAAGTTAACCCCTCTCAATTCTATAACTCCAAAACGCAAACATTGACAAACAAGGCTGTTACACTGGGAAGCAAGTTTAACGCAGTAGTACCTGGGACATAGTGCGGATTAAACTCAGAACTTCTTGCTTATACCACTACCGCACAAATAAATGAACAAAAAGTCAATTTCTTAATAACAATATAACAATTGTGCAAATTTAATTTTTGAATGAATAAACTTTTGATCTTACTATTTTTTTTTAGGTCAAGAAAACAAAAAATCAAAACGAATACTTTTTTAAAAAGATTCGTTTTATCTTCTTTTCAACTTATTAAGTTGTTATTTTTAATGATAATAAAAATAACAATTAGAATAACATAACAAAAGTTTTATTAAGTTTTAGTTGTTTTTAAATTTAAATGTTTTTAATGTTAAAAAAAATCCATAGTAAATGTAATTTACTTAATGTATGCAAT